ATTGTAGATTATTTAAAATTATTTCCACCGTCTTTCAAGAGTTATCTTACCTGTGTTTACACTATTTTGCCAGAGACGTAAGCGAAATTTATCAATGAATATATCAAACAAAATAAATACATTAATTTATCTCAAGTACTACTTGTCTACTCTCTCGGATTTTTTTAGAGAAATAAGTAATTTATTATCATATAGTGACATTATTTAGCATTATTTTGCTTTGTATTGAGATTGATATTTTATTGGCTTACCTTATACTATCACTCTTCGTTTACTAATAGCTGCCTATATAAAAAATGATGCACTTAATATCTAACAATATTTATCACATTTTGTGCAGGAATATTCATGAATTTTGTCTGCTTTTCTGTAGATCTTATTGATTGCAATGGATTCAAGTAAGATTTATTTATAGATTAGTAAATCTTTTGTTATTGTATTAATACTATATCACCACCAATAACATTCGCATTTCACTAAATCCCTAATTTCCATGTGCTTTATCTTGCTTTAGATTTCCCATTGTTGGTGCTTCAACACCCATGATTTTATTCTTACTAATATATGAACATCAAATATCCTCTATATGATAGCAAGAGATCTTGATTTTATATTATCTATTTCAAGGATTTTTACTGTGTAAGTAATTATAATGACCACGCATGCTGCAGCTGTCTATTGTGAACAAAGGTAAAAACATAGGTGTCTGGACACCTAAGCATCTCGAGAGTAGAATCAATTTGAATGAGCTCTTATATACTATTTATAATTATAAAATTTAAGATAAATTCGACTGTCCTATGATCTTTTTTGGTTAGTTAAACATGAAAATGACAAGCATAGTGATTTCTTGGTAATAATCAATTCAGATTTATTCTTAGTCTAGTAATCGTCTAGTTGTTGATTTTGTCGATTACTGTAGAACCGCAAAATCTACATCAGGCCAATTAAGTAGATCAAGGCTTTAGAATCGAATAGAAGTTGTTTGACCTTTTTTTTCGCAACTTGTTCATATTGGTATGAAGACTTAAAAGAACGAACTTTTTCAGGAGTCCATTGTATGCATATATATTTACATGGACATGGACGTGGTACATTCTCACACGTTTCTAGGCATCGAGGTTGGCATCGTCAGTGAGTCTCTTCATTATTAGCACCATATTACAACTCGTCAACGAGACAAGTGAAGCCGATCCTTAGACCAAACGTGTGCTAAACACTTATGGTATCTCCCTTTCTGCCCTGGCCTATTCGCATTTCCTATATCCTCCAATCACGCCTTCACTGTCACAATTTTCAACTTGCTCAATTAGGTTTGGTACGCTGTGCCCTTTTGGCGGCTTTCATGAGAACCCTCTGCATCCAACACTGGCCTTATTACCCCCTTCATCCTTGTCCTGGGAATTTTGATATGAGTCTGCCATATTGTAACGCAGTCCTTTTTACCTAGGTCTTACCACAGTCCCTCTGGTTCAAGTATTTTGCTCTATTTCCTAATCAAGGTGTTATTATCCCTCGGCAAGTTGACTAATTAAAGGCTAAAGCCTCCGTTTAAGTCTCATGTTCTGACCTTTGCCACATGGAGTACGTCTCTTATATACCTATCGTCAGCCTACTAGCTCCTATCTCCGCAGCGTCTATCCTATTTCTATCTATAATATCAAGTCTATGACTTGCCATGCCCTAGTCTCTTGTGTGCTAACCCACAAATGCCTTGGTATTGCTTGCTTTGGTTAGGTTCAATGTTGAAAAGAAGTGAGAAGGCCAGTGTGAAGTGCGGAGGGTTCTCATTGAAGCGGCTTAAAAAGCACAGTGTACCACATTTCATTAAGCAAGTAAAAAATTGTGACAGTAAAGACATGATTGCAGGATATAGAAAATGTGAATAGGTCAGAGCAGAATAGCAGATACCATAACTGTTTAGCACACGTTTGATTAAAGTATCAGCTTCACTTGTCTATTTCACGAATTTTAATATGTTGCTACGAATAAAAAAACTTAATTACGACGCTGACTACGATGCCGGCGAAATGTCTGAGAATGTACCACGTCCACGGTCTGACTTTGTAAATGATTATGCATACAATAGACTTCGGACAAGATGCGTTCCTCTTATTCTTCCTACCAACATGACCAAGTTGCAAAAACCAGGTCAAACAACTCCTATAAAACGAACGGAGGCTGCTACCACACAAAAAGCCACACCATCTTGATCTTCATACTTTAGAATCTGATGTTTTAGAGTCAATAATTGTAGGTTCATAATGCAATTGAGAATCAATTAGCGCCGCATCAACAATTATATTTTTTTCAAATTTGGATAGCAGGTTTTACATAATTGTGTCTCCAACAGAAAATAGTATTCAAGATGTGAAGCGAATTTTCACTAAGTTATGATTGAAACAGATTAAATTTATAGTGACACAACGTAAGGTGATTGTATTTCTAGATAACCAATAATCCATAATTATTTGTCCAGCCATTCTTATTTTATTTAAAATCTTTAAAGAATTATATAGAAATTTTTATAATGTGCTAATTTTTCAACACTAGTGAATTTAATTACACATAGTCTGTCCTCCAAAAGCGTATTCCTATTTAAATGAACAACAGTATTAACCTCGCATTATCTACATTAGAACTCAAGTGATATTAGATATCGATATCATTTATATGCCACCAATCGAGTAAACAGCGAGGACTGTCAGCTGATTCTTAGCCTCTGACAGTGGACTTGATGCATTCTCAAACGTTTCGCCGTCATCGTAGTCGGCATCATCCGTGAGCCTTGCCATTCTCCACACCAAGATACGAACTCATCAAAGAGACAAGTGAAGTCGATCCCTTGACAACCGTTCTGCTGGAAACGGTTACACTATCACTTATCTTTCTGTCCTGGTCTATCTATCTAGTCTTACCCTCTTATCCCACTGCCACCATATTACAAATTTTCACTTGTTTACATTGTAATTATTAGAATGTGTGCCCTTTTGTAGCAAACCGAGTGTGTCCTCATCACACTTGCTATTTACCCCGAAAATGCGGAGAATGGCTGAATACGATGCCGTCGAAACGTTTGAGAATATATCACTTCCACTGTCAGATGCTGAGAATCAAGACAACTACTATGGCAGACGACTTCGGACTTGGTGCGTTCTAAATATTCTCCCTGAACACAAGACCAAGTTGCGACAACGAATTCAACCCATTCTTATAAATCAAAAGGAGACTGTTACCATAATAAAGGTTATAACATCTTGGTCTTCATATATTCAATTAAACTACGGTAGTAAAATTACCAAAAAATGCATTAAATACAGCCAGACAAAAAAGACAATTGTAAGTCAGTCTTTCCATCAGTCTTTTTTAAACTGCTGTAAACGTTATAGTATCACTCCTAATTTCTGTGACCTTAAGAGTCCCTACCACTCAGATAAAATTAATGAGTATCTCAAACAAGCTTCTAATTAGAAACTAAGTGAGACCTATGATAAAGAATGCAAAATGTTGTTTAAGTTTATTGATATTAAGTCATAGCTTAGGCGTGACTTGGCCATGGTCCTGTCTCCGGAAGATTTTCAAAAACTCCAGAGCATGACGAACAGAAAATCACGTAGGAATTCTGACTTAATAACAAAACGGCATGACGATAAGTTGCGTAAGTTTGAGATTTTTAGACAGCCTAAGTTGAGGTCAGTGCGCCTAGTTGAATTGGTTTTGAAAAAGATAATACTTACAGATCAGCACATAGAAGGAAGAAAGTAATAAACTTATCATCTATACCTCTCGATCCCAAACAACCGCGTTCCTGGAGAAAAGACTCAATTTTTAATTCGACATCACAGGAGCCTTCTAGGATACATCCTGGTTGAGCTTATCAATATCACCGACAAGTACCCAGAGGAAACAAAAGGGGAAAAGGAGATGGAACTAATTTTGAAGATCTTGACCCATCAGGAGCCTAAAAACAGGAATAGATTTGTCGGGATACGCAAAACCCTTGAAAAGAATATACAATTAGTCCTTCAGGCGGACAAAGGAGAAGCTACAGTGATAATGAAAAAGAAACAATAAACCGAGAAGATGGAAGATATTCTACAAGACAGGACTACATATTGTATGCTAAACAAGCACCAAACTATAAAGATCAATGGGATCTTATGTGTCATCCTAAAAGATATGCATATGAATGTAGAGATTGACGCATGGACAAGAAACTTAATTATAAAAAAGGATGCACAACCACCAACAGCATACGGATTACCAAAGATACACAAGGAAGGCGTGCCACTAAGGCTACTAGTCAACAAAAAGTATGGAGCAACACCCAAACTGGCAAATTTTATATGTTTAAGACTCAAGAAAATAAATGAGAGGCTATCAAACACGGTCAAACATTCATATGAGTTTTCTCAAAAAAGCAAAAACATGGCACTGGAAAAAACGTATTTGTTGGCAAGTTTCGACGTGGAATCGATGTATACAAATATCTTATAGAGAAAAAAATAACGGCCCTTCTGGAAATCCTGGACCGAGAGGAGGATATCAGGAGGGAGTCGTTAACAAGACTAATCAACTTGACAAAAAGAACCACCTATTTTAAATTCAGTGGGAACATCTATGAACAAATATTTGGACTTCCCATATGATCACCGCTCTCACCACTTTTGGCAAATGTATATATGAACAAAATAGAAGAAATCTTCAAGACGGCACCGTCATGCGGTATCTAGATGATTACTTCGCACCTTGGTCATATGGAAAAGAAAATTTAGAGGAATTTCTGCAATTTGTAAACCAGATTGATGCAAAAATTCAATTCACAATGGAAGTAGAGGAAAGTGAGCAATTACCGTTCATGGACGTTGAAGTGATTCATTCTAATGAAACGCTGAAGAAGAAATTGTACAGAAAGAAGTCATATTCTGGGATAATACTCAATTTCCGCTCCCATCACAATTACAGGCTAATGATTGGACTAATGACGAGCATGATCATCCAAAGCCTACCTCTGACGGATGCAGATTTCTTGGACAAGGAGCTGGAAAAATTGACTAGGATCTTGTCTGGCAATGATTACCCAAGCAAAGTGTTACAAAGAAACATAACGGCCGTAAAAAGCCAATGGCAGAACGGGGAATATGAAAGAACAGTAAGGACGATTAACAAAAGTGGATATGCCTGCCTTCCTGCGAACTAACTCAAAAACTACGGCCAATATTAAGTAAATGAAGTATTTAGGTGGCCATGAAGGAAAGATCAACACTTTTTACAAGTCTACCAACATAACATGAAAGGTTAGACAGATTGGATTGTTCACCAGTTTACTGTATAGCATGCAGCGCTGTAATTTGAAATATATTGGCGAAACAGGAAGAAAAATTAGTACACGAATCAAGGAACATCAGAAGCTCTGCAGGAAAATAGATACTTAAAGATCAGAACACATTGCACGAACTGGACACGACCTTATTTGGAAAGTAACGGAAAGGAAAGCTCCATACGATGACAGCACGAGGAAGGGGAAGATTAGGGAGACCATTGACATACTTGATGATACAAATCTAATGAACAGGAGATTAAAGGAAGGTAGAGTTAGTGATAACTTTGCTTACTGCCTAAGCAAAATTGGATAAAACAATAGAGCAAGACCATCATAAAGGATACGCTTGAAGCAGGGATATGCCGCTAACCGGAGGAAAAGGGTTGGCGATTAGGAAACAGGGGGGCAGAGATATTTGGCAATTGAGCGAAGACGTTGTCAGTGAGTATTGGCCATTTGAATAAATCATTTCAACCTTGGAAGCCTGGCGGTTAGGGAGCTGGGCAGAAGGATAAGCACACCGTTATAGAAATTAGGAGTTCTGGCCCAACTGCACTAGAAATCCACTTTGGATGCCGATTGTTACCAGAAATAGGGGTTCACATTTTGCTCCAATATAACAATCAAAGATAATGTTGTGCTTCTCTTTGAAAGAAGCGTAAAGATTGCAATTAAGCAGAATTATGCCATGAATTTAGTGGTTGAATTAATTTACTTGCGAAACAAGCTTTTAGAAGAGGCTAACAATAGTTTATTAAGATAAATGTATCCTCATGCAAGCGTTTATTTCTGTGAATAATATAAAGAAATGTTATGACTCAAATAATATTTATAAATATTTTGACGACAGTTTGGATAAAACCTTAGATATTATTGAGGAAATATATCTGAAAAAACATAAATATTAAGGCTAACTAACCTTTGAATGAGTAGAGATGTTTTATCTTTAAGAAAAAATTGTATGAAGAGGTTTAAGGCGTACAAAAATTTATTTTGGTATACATTTAATATTACTGATTTTATATACAGAGTAAAAGCATATATTTTTAATTTAAGATATGAAGACAACGATGGTGTAGCCTTTTGTGTGGTTACACTCTCCTATTCTTGTATAGAAGTTGTTTGACGGTGCTTTCGCATTTTGGTCATATTGGTAGAACGTACCTAGTCCGTAGTCCATTGTATGTAAGATCATATCCAGAGTAGGACCTGGGACGTGGTATATTTCAAGATGTTTTGCCGGCATTATAGTTGGGATCGACAATTATTATCCTCATTCTTAGCACCACACAACAACACGTCAAAATAGACAAGTCAGCTGATATTTTGAACAAACGACTGCTCAACAGTTGTGGAATCTCTCCTTCTACCATAAACTATTCCCATTGCATCGTGCCTTCATCGTTACAATTTTTTCCGGGCTTATTTTGATGCATTGTCATCTACTC